TTTTTTTTATAATATTAAAAATATCTGTATGACATTATATTCTGCAGTTCTTCCCTGTTGTACCGAATATCTATACTTTTCAAATTATCATATCGAAGTTAGAAATTCAAATATTGTGACAGAATTAATGTTGTAGGGTGCCACAAGTTTGTTAAAATTTCCAAACGGTGCCGCGACTAAAAAAAGGTTGGGAAACACTGTTCTAGGCTATTTGAGATTTTATTAAAAGTTTGCTATATGGCAAAGATACTTATATTGAGTTCTGTCTTGGATTAATTGCTGTGCATTGCTTTTTTCTCATTTGCATGTTTTTCTGAATAAATTTGGATGCTAAAATAATAAAGGTAAGTGATTAATAGATTTGATTTCCATTTGGCTAACCTGGTATAATCCACACATAACTGATATGTGCAGATTTGCTAAAATATTGTAAAGCTTTATGCAATGTCTCACTTAATCAAAACCACCTAAAAGCACACAATAGTACTGTTAGATGCCTTTTAAAAATGGTCTTCAACTGTTTTTACTGACTGTATGGAAGAAAGAACTACACGGGCACTTATATGATAACCTTCTGCTGGTCTGGTCTGTTTTAAACCTATAAAACATTTATCTACAGATCTACACTTTCTCTGACCTTTTCACCTTATTTTGAATTACTTGACTATGTATCACTAGGTAAAACTGTGTTGAAAGAGCCTCGGTAGCAGTCAAGCACATTTGGTTTTATGAGGAAGGATGAGAATACTGTGATTTTTTTTTTTCAACGGGCGCTGTGCTGTAATCGCAAACAATCGCAGCCGCAGGAACCGCGAAAGATTCCCACGAATCTGTTGTGGTGACACACTGCCACACTTTCCCACGCGCGCTCGAGCTCTGGCAAACGGATCATCCTTAAAGCGCGTGGCCGAGTGCGAGTGCGCGCGCCGCTGCCTGGGGGCACGAGGCGGGCCAGTGGAGGGGGATCATGTGAGAGTCCACGCGCCGAAAGTAGGTTAGACTACAGAGAAGCACAGACGCAGAGAGAGGGAAAGAGAAGAGGGCATCATTTTATTGCATAGCTGACAGTGCGCGCATTTACGCAGGAAAAAAAGCATATGATGGAGCGGAATTTACTCTGAACAACCGGATGAGAAGAGCGAGTAGGCTGTGCAATAATTTACGAGTTTTAGTAGTTATTTTCTTACAATAGCTCTGTTTTGGAGTTTTCAAAAATTTACCTGAGTTTAACTTTCGGCGCAGTTCAGATGTACTGGAGTTATATTATCGTTCGCAGATAATATAGCATCAAAATGAGAGGTAAGTTCAATGAAAAAAATGCATTTATATAAACAAAATAATATTGTCTAATAATGGAAACAAAACTGTCACTTTGACAGCGGTAATCGTGAATGGGTTTGCGTTGATGTTGCACGACCTGCGCAAAGTCTAAACCGAAGTAAAGCGCGCACAAATATATATAAAAAATAACTGTTTGGTTGTTTGTAACATATGTGTTTCTTTACTATTTGATAGCTTTTCGTCACTAAGACATATACAGAAAATAACCAGTACACGGAAATGATAAACTTTGCATAGTTCTGTTTTGTTTCTTCGCTTGTAAACGTGAAAGGGAAGCGATGAGCGTAATATAGGAAACGTCTTAAGAGTTGCCATGTCCGCGTTTAATAAGCAAGTGGGGATTGTTTAAGTCTCTTATAAATACGATTGGTCTATGTTGTGGCGTTTTTGTCAGAACATAGTCGCGCATGTAAATATGTAAATACGCATTTTAGCCAAAAGGTGTGCGCGTGAGAGATTTATTTATTAAGATAGTTGTAGCCTATATGTGAAACATTTTAATTATTTTTTAAGGAGATATAATTATTGAAATGACGTACCTTGCAGCAAGTTACAATTTAGACTTTTTATATATTTTGCTAGAATAAATAAGTTAATCAACTCTTTTCTACGTTGTTTGCTTATTTTGAAAAAAAAAAAATCTTGCGATATTTGGCAACACTCCTCTAACTGTAGTTACTGTTAACTGCCACTAAGCCAAGTCCATTATGTAAGAATCAAACATGTTTAAAAATGCTTAAAATGTAATAATCACTGGGTGCTGTCATTTGAACTTTGTTTACTTCATGGAAAGTTCAAATACTGTATTATGGTCTTGCGCAAAGTTGATATGCCTTTGGTCACGTATGTATAAGCCCTGTTGAACTTGAGCTCTGCTGAATGTTTGTGTCTTTATCGTGATAAAGCTTATCAATAAGTTGAGGGGAGACTCTCAGCATGTCAGTAGGCTGTGTGAGCTGTTGTGGCACAAGGAGTGGGGGTGTATCTGCAGCGCTCTGCGTGTTGTTGTTCTTCAGTCTCAGCATGGCCGCCGGTGTGACGGGAGTCTATCTGCTCCATTGACCTATTTCTGTCATTGAGGATTACACAGTTTATTACAACACTGTGAGATCAGGAAGAGAATTGGTCAGTTTTAAGATCGGTTTATTGTTTTCCTTATTGGCATCTTATTTTAACCTTTACCCAGTGCTGCATCTCAGCAAAAGCGTGTTGGCAAAGCAACGTTAAACCTGAAATTCTGTATAATGGAAACAGCGCCTCCTTTGGTGCAAAGGCGTAACATGTGCTCAGTCGAGCTTAGTTGCCTTTGATTTCAGTTTTATATTAACTGTTTATATAATCACAATGTTATATTTTTTCATTTAGTTGCTATGTTTATGCTTTTTCCACTGAATGTTGCAGACTTTTGTAAGAGTTTCATCACTGAAATTCATCGCATGTGCTAAACAGAGTCTACACTACCAGTAGAAGTAGAAGCAGAGCCATTGAAAAATGTAATTAAATGAGCATTGGATATTCAGTATATTTCTTTTGACTTTGTCCATGATCCCGAAGAAAGGCACTCTTCTGTATGCTGACTTGCTGAGAGCTGTAGATTATAAGCCACCATGCATGGCAATGAAAAGCAATGAGCCGTCTATAAATGAATGCTGAGCAGCTTAATGCAGTGGCACTTTGACACCTGCCAATGAAGTTTCCATTCATTTAAACCACAACTTAAGCCCAGGCAGTGGGAGAATGTGACCAGAACATTTGAACTGTGAGAGATTAAAATCTTCTTTTTCAACAACAATTCAAGATCTTCAGGGTTTTTTTTCAGAGTATTTCTTAACAATAAATACATTATAATTGTTACACACCTAAGGTGTATTCTTATGGATTTTTTAGTTGATGCGTCTTAAACCCAGCCTTTTTGTAATGTGAAGCTTAACTCGCACTTTTTTTTTTCTTTTTCTTTTTTTTACATTTTCCTTCATGAATCATTGATAATAATAATGACCAAAAATTTTAATATTTTTAGTATTTTTATACAAATTTATCTAAAAATCAATCTTCTTTCAACCAGGATATTTTTTTTAAATTCTAGATTCAACATATAAAATCACAAGATGGGAAAAATGACTGTATGCATGTATTTGTAGAAACTTTTATTGTTTCCTAATCCCAGCAGGCATCGAGATAATTAATGCCCATCAATAGTCACCTTACACTCCCTATCAGCTCAAGGTTTTCCAGCTTGGTGTTGTTACTTATACCGAAGAATTACTCAATCCCTCTGTACATATTTAAAGAGAGTCTTGCGGTGTCATTCCACCATCTCAGTTTACTTAGGTAGGTCACTTTTAAGTGATGTGGGAGAGGAAAAATCATTACAGTTGAGATCTCAAGTAAAAGTAATCGGATGCAAATTGAACCCTGTTTGTGTAATTCAAAGCAAACTTGCTGGTGAGGACACAGCAGACTCCAAAATTGGCTCTAATATGAACTACACCGTGCACACACAAATCTCATACAAGTTAGGTTAGTTATACACTGTGCTATGCAAATGCAAGGTAAATGGGACCTTTGGACGTTGCTGAACAAAGTTGTTTGATTATGTGAGATAAAAGGGCAAAGTCTCTGAATTTGTGTTGGGTTTTTCCCAGCATCGCTCTGTGAAACTGCTGACTGGGGTTTGATGGACTGACTAACTGACATAGAGTGGCCTAGAGAGAGGAGATAAGAAGAGCTAGATTACTAACCCCAGCTTGCCCGATAAACATAGCACTCTAATAAATCTCCTCTTAATTAGTTTTCGGCAGTCTGACTGCATTTGCCTCCGGCTTCAACAGCAGTGCTCGAATCGGTTAATCAAACAAGAGCTGTTTTCTATACTTTTGATTTGACTGAGTGTTTGTAGGAGATTGGCTTGATATGTTACGAATAATGGCTTGTATTAACTAATTAAAAGATGTAAAAGATGTATTAACTAATTAAACTTTTTTTTTTTTACGTGATAAAGGGAGATTTTTGTCTTTTATACATCAGCCTAAATATCAGAGGTTCCTGACTGTAAGACATCTTGGTAATTTTGTCAGCCCTTTTGACCTCAAAGTTTTAGTCAGTGATATATTTATTCCTATTTTTCATTGGTGAATTTACCATAATTCATTGATTCTATGCCAAAAACCTGTAATGTGTCTTGCCATTACTGTTTGGTGAGTCATACTGCCATGTAGTCAGTGCAGTTTGCTTTTACCTGACATTTTGCTGTGATATTCGCAATATGAAAGGTTTTGTTTAACTGACACATAGCATGGTAAAACCAAAGCTTTTATAAAATTCAGCCTCCAACCACCATGCACAGCAGTAAAAACTTAAAAATAGTTGTATGTGAGCGCTACGAGACAGCTGGGACTGTGCTCAAATTCTTGACAGGCTGCCACATGTTGAGGGCAAGTGTAAGTTACAGAGCCCTTAATGAGTGTACTGTAGACATTTCAAATGTGCAAAAGTCATATATCACTCCCATGACATTACATAAAATGCACCTCTTGATCATGTGTCTCTGATTCAAAAATGTATCCAGAGTCACTTATGGATTTGTTTGAAACTGAAATGATAAGTTTTCCTGATAATATAATGGTCTTTGATTTTTGCGGTTCCACCTTAAACATGCCAAGAAGAAGGGGAAAAAAAATGTAATCAGATTACAGCGCTTGCGAGGCTACCGCACAAGCGCCTCCCTCGGCTCAGTAGGAAAGTGTGTCAGTAGAACAGCTCAGCCACATAGCCTGACCGTGCTACGCAGGTGAGTGGCATGTGAGCGGACGAGTCGGAATCAAAGCCACACTGTCACGAGCCAATGGGAAGGTGGGAGGGGCGGGATGGAGCAATGCTCGTCACTGCGTTGCTAGGGTGATCTCCTCTGAATGAGTGTGTTCGTGGAATGTAGCCAGACAGCAGTTACATAACACGGGGAGGGTGGGTGCCGGGGGATCAGAATGGGGTAGAAGGAATGACAGTGAAAAAAGACAGAATATGTTCCATTTAGTAATTTCACTGACTTACTGCATTATGGAATAAATTTAATTTTCTTTCTCAATGCTTTGAAAAGTGCTTTAGCAGATTGTGTTTATCAACCTAGCTTCTGGAAACATCAAGCAAACTTGTCTCTTGTTCCCTCTTTTTTTTTTTTTCCCCGCTCTCAGACTCCATTGCTCTAATGTGACGCACACATCCTCATGTCATTATCTCTGGAGGGCTGGTTCCCTGTCACGACACATTAGCCGTTACATAAGATATTGCGTCATTGCACAAAACACGAATGACATTTCCTACATCCACATCACCTGAGAGGACCATGTTCCCTGGAAATAACCTTTATTGGGATCCATCCTGTGCCATTTGGCTCATCTGCAATAGGTGAAACTTCCTAACCATAGGCCCCTCAAGAAAAATTATATTGACCTGCTATTCAAGGATAGCGCTTCTGCTTGAAAGAACAGCTTGTTTAAATGGGATATAGAGGACTTACTTGTGCAAATGTAAGTGTGTATACTGTTGTTTGGTTCTGAGGAAATCTTTGCACTCAAAGGTTCTATTCATGAACCTGCAGCTGTTTATAATTCCCATACAGAGCATCACAATCCGCTTAATTCCAGCTCAACTGTGCCAAGCAGAGAGCGAGCTTTGTTTATAAAGCTGTTTTTGATCCTGTGGTCCAAGGACTTGTGTTATGTCATCCTGAGTGGGTCAAAACCTTGAGTCTTTGAATATGAGCTGTAGCACTAAACCCCTCTCGTTATGCATTAGCTGTGTATTGTTGCTGTTGAAGGAATATGACACTAGCAAAGTTTCCACGTCTCTGTGAGAGTCAGACCAGACCTTCGGGCTCTGTGCCAGCCTATAGACTTTTATGATTGCTCAAAGATCAGTGGGTCAAACAAAGAGCACTGTAGATGTAGCTCACTTTAGAACTGTAAGTAGTGGATGGCTTTCAATGCTTTGTGTGCTTTGAGTCAGGACTTTTCTATAGGCTGTGTATGGGAGGTGCTGGATAAGGGTGTCAAACTTTAGCTAATGTTTCATGTTCCACTTCTCCCTCTCTTAGCACAAATCGAAGTAATCCCATGCAAGATTTGCGGGGACAAGTCATCGGGCATCCACTATGGGGTGATCACTTGTGAAGGCTGCAAGGTAAGTGAGCATCCTTTCAATCAATTCATCTTCAATTCTGCTCAAGGTTAAAAGGGATAGATCACCCCAAAATGACAATTTTATAATCATTTACTCGCCCTCATGTCATTCCAAACTTGAATGTTGTTCTGTTTTTCTGTGTAGTGCAAATGAAGATATTTTGACGAATGTTTCACTGTTTGTCCATACAGTGAAAGACAAACGGGTCCAAAACTTGGAACCCCTATTTATTGTATGGACAAAAACACTGAGACTTTTTAAAAACATTGTTTTCTGCAGAAAAAGAACATCATACAGCTTTGTAACAACATGAGGGTGAGTAAATGATTATAGAATTTTCTTTTTCTCTTTAAAAGACCTACATTTCTTAGACTTGGTTTAAAGGTTTGTGTCAAACTGTTTTCCCCAAAATGTTCCCTTTTCTTCAGATAAAAAACTAGAATAAACAGCATTAAAGTATACAAGACTTGCAAGAAAGTTAGAGTACCTTGTAGTTACACCCTGATGACGTCTTCAGGCTGTTCCCTGAAACGGTAAACAATTCAACCCCTTTATCTGATTGGCTCTCTGACGAGTGAGAAATCTCAGTCAGCTTGGATTTGACCACAAGACATACAATGTGTGCCAGATCTGATCTAACGTTTCAGACTCTCTGCCCGAAAGTCTTTGCCAAATGACATGCTATTTGTATTGAACCACATTACTCCACATTACCATTTTTTCAAACCATCATGGATTGCACATGGTATTAATAAATGATCATATGATTGCACTGGTGTCTGAACCCATACAGCTAGTCCTTGAGATTTTGATACCATGAAAACAGTGAGGTTTTAGAGTTAATTCAGGATTTAACCTTGATTTACGAACACAGAGGAAATGGAAATGGGGCCACTTCTTGACCTCAGCTTTCTTTTTTTCACATTTTCATTCATCAAGGGCTTCTTCCGCCGAAGTCAGCAGAACAATGCGATATACTCCTGCTCCAGGCAGAGGAACTGCCTTATTGACCGAACCAATCGCAACCGCTGCCAGCACTGCCGCCTGCAGAAGTGTCTGGCACTGGGCATGAGCCGTGATGGTGAGTCTAATCTTACGCAAGAGCGCATTTCCTACTGGAAATGGAGTCTCCTTGTGTCCTATTAAACACAGCTGTGGTCTCAGCGTGAATGTTAAGACTTCATATAGCCACTGGCCGAAGAAACACAGCCAGGCATGAAAGTAGTTTCAGTTTTGATCTCCCCTGTGTGGTATGATGTTGGCCCGTTCCATGTTTTTTTGTTTGCTTTTCAGTTCTTATCAACAATCAAATGTAACGTTCGTCTTACTTTCCACACCCTCCTTTTCTCTGCAGCGGTGAAGTTTGGACGCATGTCAAAAAAGCAGCGTGACAGCCTCTATGCCGAGGTTCAGAAGCACCAGCAGTCTCAGGAGCGGGCAGGGGGTTTAGGCAATGGTGTACCCGGCCATGCTGGTGACGAGGTGGGGGAGAACGGCAGCAGCCACAGCCGGGCCTACAGCCGGGGCTCCAGCACCACACTAAGTGACCTGGATGACATAACCACGCTGCCAGACGGTCTCTTCTTTGATCTGCCGCTCACACCAGAGGAAGCTGCTGACTACTGCAGCCTAGAGCTGCTGGGAGGAAGTGGTGGGAGCAGTTCGTCCTCCCAGAGTTCTCCTGAGCCGAACAGACAGGAGTTTAGTGACACGACACACATCAAACACGAGTACCAGACCCTGCATGAGATGGGACTTTACACTCGCTTATTACTTAACCCACCTGAAGGCTGTTCCTTGATGGAAATCGGTTAGTATACTGTGATAATGGGAATGTATGCATATTAGATTATATTACTGTATATATAATATAATATGTACCAGTATGCACTACCGTCCATAAGATTGGGGTTGGTAAGATTTTTTTTATATTTCTGAAAGAAGTCTTTTAATCTCACCAAGGCTGCATTTATTTGATCAAAAATATAGTAAAACGGTAATTCTGTGAACTGTTATTACAGTTTTATTCTGCAAAGCTGAAGTTTCAGCAGCCATTACAACAGTCTTCAGATTCACATGATCCTTAGAATTCATTCCAATTTACTGACTTGGTGATCAAGAAACATTTATTATTGTTGAAAACAGTTTTGCTTAATATTTTTGTGAAAACCATAAAGAATAGCATTTGTTTATTTTGTAACATTATAAATGTCTTTGCTGTTACTTTTGATCAATTTAATGTGTCCTTGCTGAATAATAGTATTACTTTCTTTCCAAAAAGAAAAACTGACTAACCCCAAAACTTTTAAACAGTAGTTTATGAATATTATTAAATATGTCTATTATTAATTATTTGTTTGTATTAAAAATTATGCATTTTCTCTAAATAAATCAAAAATAAAAACAAATCAATTTTTTCTGTGTGTTTAAATGTTAACTTTAAGCGAGCAATTTGAAAATGAACATGTATCATTAAATATCCAGTATCGACTGAATCCACTAAATAAAAAATTTAAAAAACTTATATCTGCCATGTATCTCTGTGACATGCTTCCATAGTCTATATAAACTTTATGATGTTGTGTGTGGTCATATTGTATAAATGTATGTTTCCTTTAGAACGGATTACACAGAATGTGGTAAAATCCCACATCGAGACAAGTCAGTACAGCACAGAAGAACTGAAAAGATTTGCTTGGATGCTCTACACACCTGAGGAGATACGTGTCTACCAAAACAAGGTACCACAGGGTCTAACAGCATGTACCATATGTATGTTGTGATTCAAGCAATTGCCCAACCTTACATTCCATTTTAATGAATCACACAGAATACAATCGTTCCTGTTCTAATTTTTTAAGAAGCTAATTCAAAATAGATTAAAAAATACGTCAAATACACATCATAATTGCGCATAATCAGAATATGGGTGGAAAAGTGTCTAAAATGTATTGCTTTATCCAAGTCCACAGAGATGATGTGGCAGCAGTGTGCAGTGTACATCACGAACGCCATCCAGTATGTGGTGGAGTTTGCCAAGCGCATCTCTGGATTCCTGGATTTGTGTCAAAATGACCAGATTATCCTTCTCAAAGCAGGTCAGCATCAACTCAGTAATCAGTTATCTGTTATCCACATTAGTGAATACCTGCAGTAAATACATTTAAGTGCCCAGTTTATATTTCTGGTTAACCCTTCTAATACAGCATACTTATTTATGGCATGATAGTTGTATATTCGAGTTTAAACCGTAGGTATTCTTCATTTCTCAACTGTGTTCTGACAATGGCTCTGTTGTTGTTTTCTCTCACCCTTTTCCCCCCCGCTTGTGTCCTCCCTTTGTGCATTGTGTGGTGTGCCTTTTACCCGATTTGTTATTTAAATGAAAACAAAAAACACTTCTGTCTTTTTTCTCTCTCTCTTTAAAACAACCATCATTGCCATTCGATTGAATGCTGACATCACTATTTGATTGTGAAAATGATGACTGTTTTAATGAATCCTCAATTTGAAAACATTTCGTAATTTGTGCAATTAAATCCTAATTGTTTTTTGTTTTCCTGTGTGTATGTGTGCATCGTGGAGCATTCGTTTGCCTATTTCTTCCCTCTGCCTCCCTCTTTCCTGCCTTTCCTATGTCCATCTTCTATGTGGTGCTGCCCATCCAGGCTGCCTGGACGTGCTGTTGATCCGAATGTGTCGGGCCTACAACCCCATCAACAACACACTGTTGTTCGATGGAAAGTTCGCAAGCCCGCAACTCTTTAAAGCTCTCGGTGAGTCTCTTCCTTAGACCTTTCACATAATTTAGCACCCTGTGGCATTTCAAAGGGCACGTTGGGTACTTATATGCAATTAACCTGAGCAATGGTACACCAAGAGCTGTAAAATCACATGATTAAGTCACCGTTACTCTTTATATAGACCTAAACAAACATTAATTTAAATGGAAAATGGGTCAATTAAAATATTTCCAGGTCAATTGAAAGATTGCTAAAGTTGGCTGGGTTTACCTTTTCGTGTTTTGTGGGGCAAATTACAATGTTGTGACATTTTTACAGCTCTTGGTCAATTTTGCTCTATTATTTTTTAAATGCATTTCCTATGTTTTTCCTGTCTGTAGGTTGTGATGATCTGGTGGGTGCGGTGTTTGAGATGGCTAAAACCCTGAGTCGGCTACAGCTGTCTGAAGAGGAGATGGCTCTGTTTACCGCCACTGTGCTTCTGTCTCCAGGTGGTTTTACTAGAACATTAGTTTAAAGTAATCTTTAACTCTTACAGTCTTTCCAGAAGATATATAGCCAGACATTAGAGTTTACTCTTCCACTAATTTATTTCACAGACCGACCTTGGTTGACAGATGCTCAGAAGGTGCAGAAACTTCAGGAGAAGGTCTATGTTGCGTTGCAACACTGTCTTCATAAAAGCGGTGCCCCTGAGGAGAAACTGGCAAAGGTACTGGGAAAAAATCTTAAGAATGAATGAAAAACAAGTTCACACTCTCACAGCTGTTAAAGGGGTCATATGATGCTATTTTAAAGATCATTATTTTGTGTATTTGGTGTAACAGAATATGTTGACATGCTTTAATGTAAGTTACGCTTTCTTTCTTTGCGTGAACATTTGGGTGGTGTTATGCAAATCTTCCCACATCGTGAGGTAGATATGTGGGGGCGTGTTAGAATGAGCCGTTTTAGGTAGGCGTTGCTGACTCTTAACTTTTATAAAGAATATCTCTTTGGATTTGAGACTTTAGTCTTTGCAACTTTACAGATCTTCTTTATGCACCAAGAGCTTGTAACACTCCAAAGAGAAAGGAAAACTTGAAATCGCATCATATGACCCCTTTAAATGTGAGAAAATCAGGGCTGTCAAAATAAACACATGCGATTAATAAATATATTTATGCCATTCTGATTTTTATGCTGTTCACATACTTAATCAATTTGACATTTTAACTGTTTTTATTATGATTTGTGTGAATTCTAAAAAATTCTAAAAAAAATTGTGTGAATTCCAAACCTCCTGAGTTGATCTGAGCCGCGAGAGTTCACCCACGCAAATGTCCTGTTTGTCAGTGAATAATGGAGAAGGCTTCATTTTAATATCAATATCATAATAATAGATGTAATGTGTCAAATTCTTTATTTATAAATAATATTCATTTGCATTCTTTGTATGGTGAAACACATTATTTATTATTTTTTAATTGTTACAAATTACTGTTCAAATGTTTGGGGTCAGTAAGTTGTTAAAAGAAAGGAATATTTTATTCAACAAGGATGCATGAAATTGATCAAAAGTGACAGCAAAGACAATTATAATTATACAGAAGTTTTCGGTTTCAAGACTGCTGAAAAGTTTACCAAAAAATATATATATATTGCTGTTTTTACTGTACTTTTTTTATCAAATAAATGCAACTTGGTGAGCATATGAGAGCATAAGAGACAGAAATATTACCGACCCCATACTTTTGAATCATAGTGTATGTTATTATTTTCCCTAAAATTCATTAAAAAGACCCAAATGCATTAACTTTTCACTACAAGAACATTTACAGTAGAATATGGAATATTTAATAATTTTATCAATCATGTTAAATAATATTATACATATTTTTTAGTCAAGTTATGTAAGAAAATGTTATAACTGCTTTTTCTTTTTTTATTGACTATTGATAGATGGTGTCCAAGTTACCCATGATGAAGTCAATTTACAACCTCCATATTGATAAGCTGGAGTTTTTCCGTCTGCTTCACCCAGAAACGGCCTACAACTTCCCTGCTCTCTACAGAGAGGTTTTCTGCAGCGAGATCTCCTTCCCAGACTCCACTGAAGGCTAACATTCATTGAAGTGTCATATTGGCTCTGATGAGAGACAGAGAGAGGAAGAGACAGTTAAAGAAAGACAGGGAATGGAAATAGGAGGAGGTAGATGGATATGTGTTTGAGAAAAACCAGCAACACACTGACAATCTTGCACGTTACACTTTAGGACTCCATCTATAACCTCCCTCCTGATGGAGTGATTCACTCTATTTGAACAGGACCCACATTTCTTATAAGATGCTGTTAAATATCAGCAGTCATTTAAGGTGCTGGTTACTATTACTCATGCTACCTACATATAGTGACTCGAACAGAGTAAATTATGTATATTTAATTAAAAAGAGTACTCGAAGTGCTTGAAAAGTGGATACTTCCCATTTTCAGAGTACACTTAGGAAGAGAACTATGAATGTAACCCAACTGACATGCGGCAAAGCCTCAGGATTAAGACAGAATGTATTATGTATTCCTACCCCATATGTAAAACAAGTTTTTAAGGCTTGGTTTCTGTAGACTAACAGTTTTGAATCCATGCGAAACTGTTTAAAGGGACCATGCATGCACACCTGAGGTTGTAAACGCCACATTCACTTTAACAGACTCAACACTAACGCACAGCACACTGCACAGGCCACACGTGCACATGGTATGTTGTCATTTGAGCTCTTTATTTTTGCTTATAAATTTAAAAGATGCAACTAAACTAATGAAAACCTCATCCTTATTACCCTTTCCCATGCAAATGCCACTTGGATAAAGATATTAGATGATATTTTTATATCCTCATTTGATCGGAAACCACATGTATGTAGAACGATAGATGTATTTGAGAATATATTTATAAACAGAGCCTGTAGATAGCATATGTAGGCAGAGATAAAAAGTTGCACCTTAGAGTGAATGTTCTCAAGCCCTTTCAAAGACTTCCCAACCATAGAAGTTGAATTCTGGGCTGGAGTTGGAATTGGCATGACATGCAGATTTTGAAAGCTTTAGATTTAGATGCAGGTGGACAGCACTTAAATATTCCAAAAAAAAAGGACTTTGCAAGAGCAGGTCTTTGCTGTCGCCCCACATTAGATGGCGAAAAGACAATGCCACTATGAGACTTTCTGAAGCGCAGCAAACCACTCAAACAGCTGCTGGGAGCAAGGCCTCAGGAGAACGCAAAGAACACGGAAGGAACCTTATATTTTTAGAGACAACGGACAACCTGAGCTCACCATCAGTCATGAGGACACCACAGAAATGTTGTAACTTGGACTATTCAGTTTCTACAGCTGTGAGGATAAGTGGATTCACAGGCCATACTTCATGCTTTGCATTGTGTCCGATGTGGGGATCAGTGTTGTGTTGCTGTGTGATTATTTTTTCCCCCTATCATCCATTTACCCTTTGTGTTCACTTATAGCACAACTATTGGTTGACAGAACCATCAGCTACCCCCCTGAGTTGGGGAATACTGGTTAGTTTATGTTCCAAAACTTTGCGGTTCAAACCAAAGGAGAAAGATCTACTATCTGTCCGCGGTGTGAAAGCAGCCTCCGTTCTTCTAAGGATTGGTCTCGTGGGAGATGCAGGAGTGGCCCAGAAACCGGAATACAAACTAAAGCCCAAAGGAGGGCTTTTCAAAACCCTTCAGTGCCCAGTTCTAGCTTTGTGATATTACAGGGAATGAAAGATGTTTTGAATGATTGATAAGTATCAACGTCCAGTTTTCTGACAGATAAACTTAACAAGCTCGCCTGATGTTTTATTTTTGCACTGCTGGAACAGTGCCTAACTGTATATTTTCTTGTAAGATTTTATATGGTTGGTATAATACACATTTTCTGGGTGTTTAACACAGTATCATAGTGTCTGCCTGTGCAATAGTCAGTCTTTCCATTTTTAGTATTGACGGCCCTCACAAGCCAAGGATCTCCTTGGATTTCATAAGCACTCCAGCTCAGATCATTTAACACCCCCTTGCTAAGTTCTGTCTACACTTTTTCGTTTTATTTTTTTACTCAATTAGCTTAACTTAAATTGACGTGTGAAGGTGGAGAAAGATTGTAACAAAGTGCAAATACTTTGTAAAAACCATTTAGAGTTTTAGAAGATGTATTTTTTGGAGTGTAATTCGCAGCCCTACAAACTGCCACAAGCGTCCGGCCTGTCCTTGAGGGTAGTTCTGGAAGTGTGCGTTTACATCTACACTCAGTCACTCAGGGAGATAGCTGGGTTCTTTTTCTTAAATTGTCTTCTTCAGTTAGCCTAGCGAGACACCTTGCACCAAATAGAAAACCTTAAACCTTGATCACTGTGTACGGTGACTTTTCTTGTGAATGTTAATCACAGAAGTATCAAAGAATTTTACCCCTGTCTTATATCAGTGCTGTTGGAGGACTTTTTCAGTTTGACTTGTTTAAAAAAATGAATAGGATCAAAACTATAAGGTATATAGATATACAGTATATAAGGATGAATTTAATCTTTAAATCTAGTGTTGTGTTTTTTATTTGTTTGTGATATTTTCTTTCTTCATTTCTGTCCTTTTCTGGACCATTTTTCACCCGTGTAGTGTCATCCTTGCCTTTGTCTTGAAGAATTAAAATCCTATTTTTTTAAAGAGCATTTTTAAGCAGAAAATCCCCTACAAGAGTCCTAATCCTTTGCCATGGTCTTTCTGTGGTTGTTTCAGTTGTAACTTTATTTTTAAGCAAATAAATCATATTATAGATTTGAAGGAGTATAATTTATGGTGTATTATGGATACAGAGAATTAAACAAACACATTAAGGGTTATTGTACAATAAGAATTACACACATGGTTTCTAGAATGTAATAAAGGTCTTTTTACTTTATACTGAGTGTTTTGTGGCTACTGAATTATTATTTTTTAAATTTAAGTTAAGTATTTTTTCATTAGGACATATTTTAAAGTAAAATGCAATGCAAGACCGAAATCCCCAAAATTCCCATATGTG